TACAGAACATCTGTAATATGCTATCCTCACCCCAAATCAGACCAATGCTCTGTCTCACCTCCAGTGATTCGCAATCTTGGGTCCCCCAGATGTTCTTGCCCTACAACTCCCAGAAATCATGGCCAGCACAGCTAGATGGTGAAGGCTTCTGGGAATTTCAGCCCAAGAACATGGGGGGACCCAAGGTTGTGAACCACTGTAGACAGAAGACAGACCACTAATTTTCCCCTTGCTCCACTGCCAACAGCTTTCCCAAATCTCAGGTGATGTGCCTACTGAGCCTTGCTAACCAGACAAGCAGGGTGCAAGCTGAGCAAGACTGCACAGCTTTTAGCTCAAAACAGAGTGGCAATCTAAGATATACAGTTTTCATAATAACAATTTTCTACCGCCTGTTTGACCATATTAAAGGAATGAAGCAAAGTATTAACTTTGTCCAGCTTTGTTGCCCAATCAGCTGAAGGCCATTCTTGTTCTCTAGAGATGATCAGTTCAGTGGCTACTTTAAGGCACTGGACTCCGCAGAGGGCTTTTGGCATATAATGAAAGCCGATGGAAGGAATGAGCCAGGCAGGCATGTAAATAACAGAGATGTCACGCTGTCTCCTTACATTCTGTGGGGCCAAAAGAGAAGTGCAGAGATCCATGTGTGACCAGAATCTACAAACACTTTTGCTTTCTTCTTCACTTCAGAAATGACTGGTACAAGGTCACATCATTTTGCAATCCATCCGTAGGCCTCAAGCTGACCCAGCGCAACTAGCACACAACCTGTTAGATCGGCATTGATCTTATTGGTTTGACTTTCCCGAGAAGCAAAGAATGAGGGTGAGGAAAATGGGTCAAAAAAATGGCCAGCTTAACACTCAATGGCAAGCACAGAGACAGTGGGGACCTCTACCAACAAGGCAGAAACATGAGTTCTTTCTTTGAGTATCTGAAAGGCAATTATACACGTCACGTCAAATCTCCTTCTAACAGAGTACCCCTCAGTTTAACAGCACAGCTGGTGATTAAATCTATGCTCTCTTCTATAGAAAAGCTTTTGCCTGGTAGAGGCAGATGGCTTTGGACACCCCACCCCCTTTCACATCCCAGCCACGGAGACTGCTGCTCCCCCGTACGATTGGGGAGGGTGGGTGTGAACTCTCATTTGATATACAACAGGGTTTGCAGCTTGTGTCACTGTGTTCTCAGCCCAAGGAAGAAGAAAAGGAAGAGATCCATGGCCAGAGAGAAAGTTGATCATCAGGACTTCCTTCAGTCCGTCTGAGGACAGGATATGTGGCAATGCATCTGACACCAAGGATCAAAATGGACAAATGCTGCTGATTTGAAGGGTTGCCGCTGCCAGGCGTATTTCTGCTAAACTTAAAAGGAATAGGCTTGCAGGGACTGGGTACTTAGGCTTTCAATGACATGCTTGTAAAATATAACCTGCCTTAAGCCACAAAGGTAAAGCATATTGGGTATATTGTATACAGTAAATGTAAATAACCTTCATGAAAAATCTCAAAGGGCAGCTGGCAACTAACTTGTTCAAAGACTTTGCTATGTACTCTGGCACAATTAATTCTCAATGAGGGACACAGAGAGAGAGAATCAGGAGTACAACTATAAAAAAGGAACTCTGTCCATGAGGGCTAGCATCTTCATGTATTTTAGAGGTGTATTTATTAAGATTTTTTTTTAAAATCCACAAAAAACAAATAGGGTTTGAGGAACTGCTCTGGAACTGCCAAGATACTTCCCTGGCGGCATCACAGTGGTGAACACATCTGGGTTGTTGTCATGAGCCATCTAACAGATTCTGATGTAAGGGGTTTTGAGGTATGTAAGATGCTCAATGACTGGTTTACCACTGACATCCTCAGGGATTTGAACCCAGATCTTTTAAGTTTTAGTCCACAACACCACACTGGCTCGTGAACAAATTGTAACCTTTCCTAATCCATAACGTCTATATTGCACTCAGAAAGTGCTGGAAATCAGAGCATCTCCACCTCTGAAAATATATGCTCAGCCTCCCCTTAAGACCTTGATTAAAAGCATGCAAGAAGCAACTGATATCTGTGGACTTTGCATCAGCCCTACAATGAAATGGCTCTAAATTTAACAGCTCCTTTATACAACCAGTATGAAATACTGGAGGCTACTGTAAGTAATATTAATGCTACAGCTTGAGCCCTCAGCAGCAGTAACTCAGAAAGGCAAGGAACATGTTACTGCTATTTTACATCAGGCAAGGATGATGCTTATAGAGCTGCTGTTTAAGAAGAGCAGCAGTATCACTGAGGGCTGTACCAGTTTCATAGAGGTAATAATGCTCCCTCAGCACATTTTTCAAGCAAGGGCCACATCCTATGAGCATGCCTCTGGTTGGAGGAGGGCAGAGAACAGCTACAAAAAAACAGTCAGTGCAGCAGCTGAGACGTGCCCCCTGCAGTGTAAACAGTAGTAGTCTAGAGTTAAAAAAATCAGAAGGGGCACAAAAAATTTTTTTCACTCACACAGGAGCAGAGAACCTAGAAAACTAGATATAGGAGTTTTTTTAAAAAATGACTTATAGCTCTCTCTCTTTATTATACGGTCACAGACCCAACTTTGACCAGTACAACAAGATAATAAAACAATCATTAAAGCATACACATACTGATGGCACATATGAAGGCACAGCTACAGAAACAAAGTATTTCTGCTGTCGTTACACAGATTGTAAACCAACACATGTATGTTCTCATACAAAGGAAGGAAGGAAGGAAGGAAGGAAGGAAGGAAGGAAGGAAGGAAGGAAGGAAGGAAGGAAGGAAGGAAGAAGAGATCCAGAAGGAAAGAGACGTCAG